CCTAATCTGCAATTGCCTCTCTGGATATCCCACTAACTGTACTTTAAAAAAAAAAAAGGGGGGGGGGGGGGGGAATATATATATATATATTACTAATACTTTCCTTCTTAAACTTTACAGACCTGAAACTTGCCTATAGCACTTATTCGTTGTTGCTCTTATAGTTATGTAAATAGCTTCCTTGTCCTCATTTGTAAGTCGCTTTGGATAAAAGCATCTGCTAAATGACTAAATGTATATGTGAGTGTGTGTGTGTGTGTATATATATATATATATATAATAAACAACTTTTGTCTATATATGGTGATGTCAAAGCTAATATTTTCAGGATAATGATTAATTTTTTGTTTCAAATGTTAAATGTTAAATGTTAATTTGTTGTGTCAAATTCATAATTGTTTTTAGAAATAAAAGTTGATTGAGCATAATGAAATTAAGTTGTCAAAAAAAAAACTCAAGAATTGTGTTGATTCAGCTCATTTAGAATAATTAGTTTGATCAATCAGTGACGATTTATTTATTGGGTGTATAATACAACCAATAAAATTGTATGCAGTCTTTAATTTACAGATGAAGATCTTTAAATAAAACTTTAAAAAGCTTTTGATAAGCTAAAGGAATATTTAATTATTTAATTTACTAGTACGCTTATTTTAGCACATTCTGATCAAATAAATAAATGTCTTGAGTACAAACTTTCAGTTGCATACTTCAGTTGTACAGTAAAATGTGCATCTCAGCAAATAAAGTAATGCCATATGTCCACAATCCCACACACATACTCAAAATACACCCTGTATCTGATGTTTTATTTTATTTTTTTTAATTAAACATCCTGAGACGCACACATTATTCTGCAAAACTATGTAGTGTTGGTAGATAAACCAGTTTCAATGCATATGTATATATTAAATACACGTTCAGTTGCCTCTTCTGCTGTTAAGCATGTGTCTCGGCCACTTTAATTAAAATACAATCAGGATTTATTTAGAGAGTGTGTGGGTTTGCTCTATGCAGACATATGGTGTTATTTTATACGCATTTACTGTATATTGAAAGGTTTTTTTAGAGCGTTTTGAGTGTTTAAAAGTATGCTAAGTCTTTACTTTTAATCATTTAAATGCACATTTTCTGAAAAAAATAAGGAGGTCGATGGATGTCAACTATCATTTATTTATTCATCCATTTTCCTTCAGCTTAGTCTCTTATTTATCAGCGGTTTCCACAGCGGAATGAACCGCCAACTATTCCAGCATATGTTTTACACAGCGGATGCCCTTCCAGCCGCAACCAAATACTGGGAAACACCCATACACACCCATTCACACAGACACACACACACACACACACACACACACACAGTACAGCCAATTTAGTTAATCAATTCCCCTACAGCCCATGTGTTTGTACTGTGGGGGAAACCAGAGCACCCGGAGGAAACCCACGCCAACATGGGGAGAACATGCAAACTTCACGCAGAAACGCCAACTGACCCAGCTGGGACTCAAACCAGCGACCTTCTTGCTGTGAAGCCACAGTGCTAACCACTGAGCCAACATGTCGCCCTATTTATTTATTTACATCATGCCCACTGTTGTCCAATGAAATAATGTTCATATTAAAGGAGGCATATTATTTTCCTTTTTAAAAGATCCTAGAGCTCCTAGAGCAGTGGTCTCAAACTCTATTCCTAGAGGGCCGCAGCTCTGCATAGTTCAGCTCCAACCAGCTCCAACTCACACCTGCTTAATAGTCTATAGCAGTCTTGATTACCGTAGTTGGATCAGCTGTGTTTGATTAGGGTTGGAGCAAAACTGTGCAGAGCTGCGGCCCTCCAGGAATCCAGTTTGAGACATATGCCCTAGTGTGTGTGTGAAGTTTGAGCTCAAAATACCACACAAATGATGTTCTCTAGCTCTCTGAAACTGACCCCTTGTAGGCTTTGATGCTTATTGTGGTGTTTTGGTGTCTGTCGCTTTAAATTCAAATGAGTTGTGCTCTTTTCAAAAGAAGGCGGAGCTGCATATGCCTTTGTGTCAGCATAGTGGCAGATTCAAAAACAATAGTGGGCGGGGCTGTTTAACTGACAGAACACATTTCTAATCATAATAGTTTTGATAATTCATTTCTAATAACTGATTTCTTTTTATCTTTGCCATGATGACAGTAAATAATACTTGACTAAATAATATTTCAAGTACTCAGCTTACCATTTAAAGGCTTAACTAGCTTAATAAGGTTGAGTTCGGGTAATTAAGCAGGCCATTGTATAACAGTGATTTGTTCTGGGGACAATCCAAAACTAATATTGCCTAAGGAGGCTAATAATATTGCCCTTAAAATGGCTTTTAAAATAATTAAGAACCGCTTGTATTCTACTGTGATTCTGTATGCTGTAACCTGCTGGGGAGGGGGACTGTTGGAGAAGGAGAAAAACAAATTAAATAAGCTTATAAAAAGGGCAGGTTCTGTTGTGGGGTGTGCACTACCTACCATAGAAGAGATTGCACAGAATCGAATGCTGGACAAATATTGTCAGTATAATGAACCACGATAGTCATCCCCTTTATGATACAGTCCAAGCGTGTGCAAGCTCTTTTAGTACAAGATTAATTCAACCCTGGTGTTACAGAGAAAGATACAGGAAGTATTTTTTACCAACAGTGATCAGATTGTATAACCAAAGTCATAGCAGATGAATTGTGCTGAACTTGAATTAGATATTAGATATGGACAAGTGTTTACTCGTTGTTTTTGGAACCAAGGTGTGCAGTATGAAATGTAATTTTATTATTGTTTTTATTTGTATGTAACATATTTATCTATTTTTAGTATGGAGAGCTCTGCTGTGACATGTGAATTTCCCTCCGGGGATTAATAAAGTCAAACTAAACTAAACTAAGCTATTCTAGCCAAAATAACACAAATAGGTTATAGATAGATAATAGATCCGACTAGATTCATAAAATTATAGATTCTTATTATCTATAGATGGATAATAAGAATTCCTGAGTCTGTTCAACATCATTTGGGAAATATTGGAAGAAAGACAGGAGGTTGAGTAATTCTGACTTATGTATGCTTACTATTCAAGGTGTTAATTGCGACGAGCACGCTGGCGTGGGGCGTCAACTTTCCTGCCCACCTGGTGATCGTAAAGGGCACAGAATACTACGACGGAAAGACCAGGCGCTATGTGGATTACCCCATAACAGGTAACTTCTGCGTGCGTGCGTGCGTGCATGCGCGTGTGTGTGTGTGTGTGTGTGTGTGTGTGTGTGTGTGTGTGTGTGTGTGTGAGAGAATGTTTGTGTGTGTGTGTGTGATTATAGTAGTTGGGTTGCAGCTGGATGGGCATCCGCTGTGTAAAACATATGCAGGAATAGTTGGCGGTTCATTCCGCTGTGGTGACCCCTTATAAATAAAGGGACAAAGCCGAAGGAAAATGAATGAACGAATGAACATGTAACATAATTTCAAATGTTAATAATAATATCACATTCAGGACAAACCAGATTCCTCACAGCAGCTCACTTCACGTCCTCTGTTTGCTCAGTATAGTGTTATTAGCCCTCCTGAATGTTTGATGGAGAGAAGATTTTGTTCAGCACATTCCTGAACATAACAGTTGTAATAACTCATTTCTCAAAGCTGATTTCTTTCCTCTTTGCTACGATGACAGCACATAATATTTGACAAGACATTGTTCACTAGTGTTCAGCTTAAAGTGAGATCTTCTCCATTCCAGATGTTCTCCAGATGATGGGGCGGGCAGGGCGGCCGCAGTTCGATGACCAGGGCAAGGCTGTTATCCTTGTGCACGACATCAAGAAGGACTTTTATAAGAAGTTCCTGTACGAGCCGTTCCCTGTGGAGTCTAGGTGTGTACAGAGCCATAAATCTCCCGGTCTGTCCTTTGTGTTAATGGAGCAATTGCATCGTTTTGCATGTGACATTTGCAGTGAAAACTCAAAACATAAATGAACAGAGTACATGTTAACATTATATTAAAACATCAGTTCATATTTTACAACACTACTAAATACAGAGTTCTGGGGTCAGTAAAGTATCAATCTGTAAACATTTGTTTACATATTAAATGAGGAAAATAAGCATGCGTTATGATGTGACTGAAAAAGTGTCTGAAAAGAGCTTTAAAGAATTATTAAGGAAATGGACGTCTGTGTTTTGAGCAGAACCTGCATTTAACCAATCAGAGTCTCGTCTCTCATTCCCTTTAAGAGTCAGTTGCGCCTCACCATGGTGTATTTGCTCTTTACATATCGGAGTGTAAAAACTGAACGCTTCAGTAGCGAGAAAACAGTTAAACAGATCATCTGCAGCACGAGGATAAAGAACGAGCCTCCTCCATTCAGCCTCATTACTTTACTCCTTTACTTTAGTGGAGTGAGGAAACTGTCTCCACTGAACACATCCATTAGCCCACATATTTAATTTCTTTTATTAAGCACAAAGATTTGTGTCTAAACTATTTCTAAATTCAGTTCTAAAGGAGTAAATGAACAATAATAATGGGGGTGTGGTCAGAAAACTGAGTTATCTCCAAACACACGTCCTGTTCTTATCCCCATATGCTGATGCAGACGTCTCCAAAACCCCACAGCTGGACAAATCTAAACGTGTGTTTACTAAAGCAAATATAAATCTGCATATAATAAATAATACTCCTAATAATAATCACATTATACAGATGCAGATCATCATGAATAATCCGAAAAATTCCCCCGATTTAAAAGCTTCGGTATTGATGTGTCAGACGTGAAATTGGCACTTTTGTGTGACTTTGGTAAATCAAATATAATTGTGTGAAAAAACTGACAGAGACATTTCTGAGTATTTGTTTTTTTTTAGATTAATATGGGATTTCTGATTGACAGAAATGTCTATCTTTGTGTCTCTTCAGTCTTCTTAGTGTGCTCTCCGACCACTTGAATGCAGAAATCGCAGCAGGCACGGTCACCTCAAAGCAGGACGCCATGGATTACATCACCTGGACGTATTTCTTCCGCAGACTGGTCATGAACCCTAGGTACTGCATGTACATCAAGCACGCACACACACACACGCACACAATACTACTACTGTTATTATTATTACTATTATTATTATTATTATTAATAATATTATTTTTATTACTATTATTATTATTATTACTATTCCTATTATTATTATAACTATTATTATTATTATAACTATTATTATTATTATTATTATAACTATTATTATTATTATTATAACTATTATTATAACTATTATTATTATTATTATTATTATAACTATTATTATTATTATTATTATTATTATTGATTTTATTATTATTATTATTATTATTCTTACTATTATTATTATTATTATTATAACTATTATTATTATTATTAATATTATTTTTATTATAACTATTATTATTATTATTATTATTATTATTATTATTATTGCTATTATTATTATAACTATTATTATTATTATTACTATTATTGTTATTATTAATAATAATAATAATAATAATAATAATAATAATAATGTTACTATTATTATTATTATTACTATTGTTATTATTATTACTATTATTATTATTATTGTTATTACTATTATTTATTTATTTTATTATTATTATTACTACTGCTATTTTTATTATTACCACTACTATCACAAAAGTTTGAATGTTGATTCTTCAGTCATTATGCAGATAGCCTTTTCAGCATAAATAAATAAAATACAAACAAACATTATACCTGTTTTTATTGTTTGCTAATACATTTCATAACAAACTAGCATTGGTTATTTTAAAACAAACAATTTACAGGATTTATTAATCTAGTCAGATATATTATCATAATACAATATTGCAAATAAATCCATTAATGCATGTATTTAAGGCAAAGCAACAGGATTTTAAGGAGCAGCAAATAAAAGAAAGTGAAAACCCCAAACTGGCTGAAAATAATCCTCTAATCTGCTAAATAGAAAATAAACTAACAAAAACATCTTAGACAGTGGAGTTTTCTCCGTGTTGTGACGTGTATGTCACATGACATCTAAACTCTTCGATTCCCAGGGCAATTCGGAAACCAATGATCAGGGATCATGAAAACGAGTATGTGCAAAATGGTAACAGCGTACCACAACTTATACATGAACAACATCAATCTCTAAATAATTAATTAACTAATGCATTTTTATTTAAGTAATTTCATATGTAATTACATACAATAATGTCTATAATTTGTAAACAGCATTTGGATATGCACTCACTGTACATGCTTTTCAAATAAACAAACAGCAAATAGTCAGCCTCAATAACTAAAATAAATAAAAACAGCGTGAATTCATGCAGAATTAGAACAATTACTTGTTTTATTAATTGGCCTGGTGGGAAATGCAAGCTGTTGAGCGAAAGCGCAGCGACTGGACTGCAGCAGAATATAAAGACACGGAAAAACATCTTCAGCGGGCTCATTACTGACTGCGTTTCCATGGCAACTTCATCGCTGGACACAGTGACCACAGTCCAGCCCAGACAGTTTACACCTCCATCACACAACAAGGGCCAAAGGATCACGCACGCACACACACATGCACACACACGCTGGCCTCACGGGGTCGAATAGGGCAGCACAGACATCTGCCATGAATAGAAGAAGATGATTCCAGAACATTCCACTGACATTTGCACGCCTGTCAGGCCACATTAAACATAAAGACCTGTCTGTGCCCTCTCCCGTACTGCAAATACGCACAGCCCAAATACACACACTCACTCCTCAAGTACTGTAATAATCAAACGCTCGGCGAGGCCCATATTCTGCACGCTTTTCATTTTACTTTTTCCCCTGACGTCCACTTGTACTCTTAGTCAAGAGTCGTAATTGAGTTTTTATAGCCCTTCTTGCTCGCTTTTCTCTGACCCCATGAATTTAACTGTTTTTGCTACTGTACCTTTAAGGGTTTTTTAAGTACTATGATTGGTGTGGTCAGCCTTAAATGTTAAACAGCGGAGTTCAATTGGCTGAGGGATCAGGTTTTAATACATAGGCAAGATTTTGAAGGTGAAGGTTGAAGGTGAATGTGAAGCTCTCGACAATCAAAGGAATCTATGTGGTGATGGAGATAAGAAGCTGATCAGCCTGTAGCAGGAGAATCCTGGTTGAGACCCAGAACAGAGCCAGGATGATGGAACCAGAGCTGACTGATTGAGACGATGACTGAGAGTCGTAGGGCAGGGGTGACCAACCCTGTTCCTGGAGATCAACCTTCCTGCAGATTTCCATTTCAACCCATATTAAACACACCTGCCTGTAATTATTAAGTGCTGTTCAGGTCCTAATTAATTGATTCAGGTGTGTTTGATCAGGGTTTGAGCTGAACTCTTTAGGAAGGTCGATCCCCAGGAACAGGGTTGAGCACCCCTGCCGTAGGGGGACACAAAAGATCTGGAGAGCTACGGCAAATGCAGAGTTGAAGATTTGGAAGACCATGTTGGAGTGACTGAGGGCTAAAGGGAAGAAGGGGCCAAATGGGGGGCAGAGGAATCAAATCCAGACGAAGGAGTGGAGTCTTGATGTGGAGACAGGTGGGCAACTGACCAAGGCAGCACAGGAAGGAATAGAGAGCCCGAGGCAGCGGCTGTGCTGACGGACCCCAATGGAGTCAAGGTAGAGCCAATGGGTCAAATGGTTGAGGTGAAGTCCAGGCCTTGGATGTGAGAGGTGGAGATAAGGGATTCACGATGCCAGCTGGAGCTTGCAACTGGTGGCCACCCCTGGACTAGACTTTCTTGGTATATCCACACTAGCAGATGGATCTGGCTGAAGGGTTTTCAGGGGCTAGTAAAAACTGGGCCAGTGAACTGGTTAGCAGGGATAGGGATGATGGAGAACGAGGCTGGGTGGGACCCACCTTGCAGCTGGAGATAAGAACTTGACAGGTGTGGATCTGGAAGACCATGTTGGAGCCGGAGTGACTGAGGACTAAAGAGGCTGAATGGGGCTACAGGGACAAAAGGATGAAGTGCAGATGGAGGAGTGGAGCCTTGAGGTGGAGACAGGTAGACGACTGACCAAGGCAGAACTGGAGGGAATAGAGAGTCCGGGGTGGACCACAGTGGAGATGAGGGAGTATGAAGCCAAGATGGAGCCAATGAGTCAAAGGGCTGAGGTAAAGTCCAGGTCTTGCATGTGAGAGTTGGAGATAAGGGCTCCACAAGGCCAGATAGAGCCTGCAACTGGAATTTTTTGGTGAATCTACACTAGCAGATGGATTTGACAAAAGGTTTTGCAGTAGCTAGAAAAGACAGGGCCAATGAACTGACTAGCGCGGACAGAGATGAGGGAGCAGGAGGCTGGATGGGACCCACCTTGCAGCCGAAGTGACTAAGGACCAAACGGAAGGAGGGGCTGACTGGAGCCGGAGGGACAAAAGAATAAAGTGCCGATGAAGGAGTGGAGTCTTGATGTGGAGACAGGTGGGCAACTGACCAATGCTGAACAGGCGGGAATAGAGAGCCCGATGTAGCTGCTGTGCTGACAGACCACAGTGGTGCATGGAGCCAATGTAGAGCCAATGGGTCAAATGGTTGAGGTGAAGTCCAGGTTTTGTATGTGAGATGTGGAGATAAGGGATCCACAAGGCCAGATGGAACCCATAACACAAGTTTTAAAATTAAGCTAGTGGAGACTGGGCCAGTGAACTAGCTAGGAAAGATAGAGTTAAAGGAGTAGGAGTGCTATTTGGAACCAGCAGGGACTCAAGATACAAAGGTGATGGGAAAATGTGTGGGGTAACCCAGGAGGGTGAAAACCAAGAAGCTTTCTCGAAGACCAGCCCAATGTACTGGCTGCTATAGACAGAGATGAGGGAGTGGTAAGGCTGGCTGGGCCCAACTTGGGGTTGAAGAAGAGAAGCTAGCCAATGAAGGAGTGCTGGGTGCAACCAGCACTACCTCAGTAGATGGAGATGAGGAGACCTGGTGGGATCAGCGAGGTCAGTGAAAGCCCAAATACCTCTTTTAAACAGCCAGCAGCAGGTTGACCTAGGAGTGTGGATAGGATCCTAAACCTCTAGAGGTACTTGCATGGCAATATATGCTCCACACACTTGGACAGACATTGCTTTAGGCTCTGGTCTGGGACAGAGATCCACTCTCCAACTCTTGTGATATGTGCAGTGAGATGTTTGCTGGATAGACTGTGGTTCAGGTTTTGGTTGCACATGGTTCCACACACCCATTCCACAAATGCAGTGGAACTCCATTGAGGAACATACATGCGCAGGCCAGTCTTGGACCTATTGGTAGAAAGCACAGAGCAAACAGTCCATAAAGGTGGTAAGGTTAGTCAGTTTATTAAAGTCTCTCATGTAATCTCACTGCTCCAGTCACTAAAATTTTTGGAACTTAAGTACAAGAAGGATAGTCTGAAAAGAAACGCACTGATAAATATTGAAATGCCTTTAAAATGATAACGGAGGGGAAACAGATATCTAATGTAAAATTACACGCTGA